AGAATGTGAAGTAACAGAGCTTTAAAGGACTGCAAACCCACATTTTACAGCAYGTSTCAAACTTAAGGCCGGCGGMCCAAATCTGGYCCTCGTTAACATTTTATTCKGCCCCAAAAGTAATCCTTTAAATGTGAAAGAGTTTTATGGTTTCTCTYTTYGTCATTGGATTTAGTGTATTCTTTTCAACTTTCAAGCCAAGAAAATGAAGTTTCAATTTTAAAGTAATCTTAATGATTTTGGCGCAAAATGAGCAACAGAGAACAACTGTNATTCAAGGCCTGCGGGCAAAATTTGGCCTTAATTGACAGTTTTTCTGGTTCCAAAGTAATACTTTGAAWGTGAAATAATGTTTGAATTTCTCTTTTTTTTTTTTTTGCTCACTCATATTGGCACACTTTCAAGCCAAAAAACTAAGTTTGATTATTTCGGTGGTCTTCAGTGATTTTGTTGTGGAAAAAGCAACAAATAATCAACTTTAATGATATTTTTCTGTTTTCTCTTCAGTTTTTAAGGTCAATCATTTCTTTTTTAACAGGTTTTCTGGATTATGATCAAATGCATTTTTAAGATATAATAAATGAAAAAGTTAGTAGAGAGTTGGGCATAGAAATTAATGCCAATGATGAGTCCTTCTAAATTGAGTCTTGTTTCTTTATTCCAGAGGTTCTCAAACCGGGGTCCCTGGACCCCTGGGGGTACGTGAGAGGTATCTTYGGGGTCCTCAAAAAATTTCACTAAATTGTTAATTTTGTTTTTATTTTTAAAAATGCATGGAGAACAATGAACTAATAAAACAAGCACAATAAACTCAATAAAAAATATATATTCCCATGGCATTTCGCGGTTGAAATGACCATAAATTATCTTTTAAAACAGCATGGGGTTTATGGGGGAGTCCTGGAATTTTTTTCACTCTAGTAAAGTGTTCCCAGACCCAAATGGCTCGAGAACCCTGCTTTATTCAATAAGTTATGTAGGCCCTATGTTCTAAATGCCACAGAAATCATAATTTGTTAAAGGTCATTTGTATTTATATAAGAATAATTTGTCATATAACATTTTTTCCCATAACTATTAACAGAAATTGGTCCTTAGCTTGGATTTATTGGATGTACAACTTTTTGGAGCCAWCTCAATTCAAGATGGCCACCAAAGCAGTCACTTCAAATTCCTATGATTCTTTGAAGTTTTGAGTAMTTTTAAATCCACTCTGTTGTCTGTTAAGGTCAATCAAACGGAGTACTGTAAAAACATTCACAATTTCAGTTTGTCCTGAGCAGACGCTGCATTTAGTTTTGTCTGAGTGTACTTGTGTGTCTGTGCAACATATTTGCCAGTGAGATTTTCTTCTTTATCTCCTGCGTCTTCCTTCACTAGCCTCCATTTTCTGCTCCGAGGGTCCAGAGAATCCCCTCATGTGGAGAGAGAGAGAGAGGCTATGATAAAGTAAGCAAGTAGGTGGAAGATGGGGGAAAGAAGAAGGGGTGGGGGTGGGAGGAGAAGGTTGTTGAAGGAGGAAGACAGTGAGTACAGTTGGAAGGGTGTGGTGCGGCGAAGGACAGCAGAGGAAGAACGTGGGATGAGATCAGCAGGGAGGGGTGCAGACATTCACTTCGGTTGCTGGCTGAAAGAGGGGCTTTAACTGTATTACACTCGGGCAGCTCCATCTCCATCACTTTGTGGGTGAAATGTGTGTGTTTTTCCGTGTGCGTGTGAGCGAGTGTGTGTCTGGAACACACCCACGGGGCCTCTACTCTGTCAGTGCTCAGCGATAATCAGCCTCTATCTCTCTCCTGATCCATCTCCACCTCTATCCCTCCCCTGCCACTATCACTCATCCTCTCCTCCTTCCTCCATTTTTCACCCTCTCCTCCCACTTCACACACACACACACACACACACACACACACACATAGGCAGTGTAGATTAATGTGTGTGTTTTGTGTGTGCGAATCGATTCAGCCTCTGCCCTTTCTAAGCGTTCTACAAGCTCCATTGGCCTTTCGCTCTCTGCTGAGCAGCATCTGTTTCACACTACATCTCTGCTGTGTGCCACATTACTCCAACACACCGTCTCTGTCTTCCTGTGTTTGTCCGTTTCTCCTTGGCTGTCCACTTGCTGTTATCTCTGTGTGCTTTTCTGATTCTCTCACTCTGTTTCTAAAATCTGTTTTCTTTTTCTTTCAGGCTCTTCTGCTCACTTTGCTTCCACCCCCAAGCCACTGTGGGCTGTATCGATTCTCTCTCTTATGAACTGATGTAAAATGTCACTGTTTTCCACATAATGATAAGAGACTTAGCTGTTAGTTTTGATGGGATCCTGCTGGGATTAAAAATGTGCCGAGAATATTAGCTCAATATTTTATTGCTGATCCACTCCACTGACCTGCTGGGATAAACTGTGCTTTGTGTTAAATGGCATTGCCACTATACTATACTATACTATACTATACTATACTATACTATACTATACTATACTATACTATACTATACTATACTA